TGGGTAGAATATTCTGTAAATATCTGTTAAATCCATTTTTTCAAAGGTATAGTTTAAGTCCATTGTTTCTTTGTTGACTTTCTGTCTTAATGAAATGTGTAGTGCTGTCAGTGGTCTGTTAAAGTCTCCCACTATTATTGTGTTGCCATCTGTCTCATTTCTTAGGTCAAGTAGTTGTTGTTTTATAAATCTGGGAGCTCCAATGTTAGGTGCATATTTATGTAGAATTGTGACATTTTCCTGTTGGACTAGTCCTTTTATCATTATATAATGTCCCTCTTTGTGTTTTTTAACAGCTATTGCTTTAAAGGTTGTTTCATATAATAATAGCTACTCTTGCTTGCTTTTGGTGTCCGTTTGCATTGAATATCTTTTTCTACCCTTTAAGTTTTTGTGAGTCCTTATGTTTTAGGTGAGTCTCCTGAAAACAGCAGAAATTTGGTTTGTGAATTCTTATCCATTCTGCTATTATGTATCTTTTAAGTGGAGCATTTAGGCCATTTATAGTCCATGTTAGCATTGGGATGTAGTCCCAATGTAGTATTGGGACTACAGGTGTATATATATTTCATAATAAAGAGTATATAAGCAGTTTAAAACATATTAATACAAAATAACATGTATTTACACTTTGGAGAATTAAAACATTTGCCAATACCTCAGAAGTCCCTGAGCACACTCTCTAATTCTGGATTCTGTGTTGATTCACTCTTGTATCTTAAAAAATAACTTTGCTACACATATATTGTATTTGCTTTCTACTGCTTTTGTAATAAATTACCACAAACTTGGTGGCCTAAAGCAATACAAATACATGATCTTATAGTTCTATAGGTTTGGAGTCTAATGTGGGTCTTGCTGGGCTAAAATCAAGGTGTTCATAGGGCTGCATTCCCTTCTAGAGGCTCTCAGGGAGAATATATTTCCTTGCCTTTTCCAGTTTCCAGAGGCCACCCACATTCCTTGGTTCATGGTCATTTTCCACCTTTGAAACCAGCAACATTGTCTTTCTCTGACTCCTCTTTCTTAGTCATGGTTCCCTCTAACCACAGATGGAAAAGATTTTATGCCTTTAAAGTTCCATGTCATTAGATTAGGTTCACCTGGACAATCTCTTCATCTCAGGTCTTTGATGTCATCATAACTACAAGGTATTTTTTGCTATGTAAGGTACTTTTTGCTGTGTAAGGTAAAACCATATTCACAGATTCCAGGGAATAGGTGTAGATATCTGGTGGGGGGATGCATTGTTCTACCTACCACATGTATATATTTTCAAAAAATATTTTGGAGGAATTGGGGATTAAGATGGCAGACAGGAAGCAGGACTAGCTTGCAGCTCCTGTTTGGATGCACAGAGCAGCATGTGGAAACTCACATTGTGAACTTTTGCTCTAAGAACTACCACAGGAAATTACCAGGAAAGCCAAGAGACTCCGCAGACACTTTGAAGGAACTGAATTACTGTTGCAGGCTCCCTGAGTTGCTGAAAAAACTGTTAATGGGCTTGCTTTCTCAAAGGGGAAGTTCATTATCTGGGGAAAGTTCTCAGCCCTGGTCACCAGCTGCCTGGAAATAGACTTTGTGCCATTAGGGGGGCACAGTGGGAGTGAGACTGGCCTTTAGGACTGTCGGCTGCGTGGCAGCAGGGTGAGGCCAGTGACTGCTGGCTTTCCCCCGACTTCCCTGGCAACCTGTATGACTCAGCAGAGGCAGCCATAATCCCTCTGGGAATATAACTCCACTGGACTAGGAACCATATCCCCATCCCTTTCAGCAGCTGCAGCAAGGCCCCTCCAAGGAGAATCTGAGCTCAGACACATCTATCCCTGACCCACCTGGTGGTCTTTCTCTATCCACCCTGGTGATCAAAGACAAAGGTCATAATTTCTTGGAAGCTCTATGGCCCTAACCACTGCCTGAGAAACTTGAATACTTAGCCAGGTGTCCCTAAGGCAAGTTTGCATGCTCCCTACAGGACCACAGCTGATGCGCTCTTGAAAGCATCACCTCCTGGCTAGAGGCCAACTAACACAAAACCAGTGCACTAAACAAAAACACAACCAAGGACCCTCAGAGAGTTCACTTGACACCCCTGCTACCTCTGCCAGAGCAGGTGCTGGTATCCATGACTGCAAGGCCTGATGATGGATCACATCACAGGACTCTTTGCAGACACTCCTCAGTACCAGCCCAGAGCCCAGTGGCTCTGCTGGGTGACTAGACCCAGAAGAGCAAAACCAATTACTAAAGTTTGGCTCTCAGGAAGCCCCATTCCTAGCGGAAGGGAAGAACGCCACTTCAAGGGAGCACACCATGGGACGAAAAAAATCTGAACAGCAGCCCTTGAATCTCAGATCTTCCCTTTCACACAGTCTACCCAAATAAGAAGGAACCAGAAAAACAATCATGGTAATACGACAAAATAGGGTTCTTTCACACCCCTGAAAGATCATACTAGCTCACCAGCAGTGGATCCAAACCAGGATGAAATCTCTGAATTGTCAGAAAAGGAATTCAGAAGGTCGATTATTAAAGCTAATCAAGAAGGCACCAGAGAAAGGTAAAGTCCAACTTAAAGAAATAAAAGACATGATACAGGACATGAAAGGAAAATTGCTCAGTGAAATAGACAGCATAAATAAAAAACAATCACAATTTCTGGAAATCAAGGACACACTTAGAGAAATGCAAAATGCACTGGAAATTCTCAGCAACACAACCAAACAAACAGAAGAAAGAACTTCAGAACAAGGCTTTCAAATTAACACAATCCATCAAAGACAAAGAAAAAGGAATTTTAAAAAATGAACAAAGCCTCCAAGAAGTTTGGGACTATGTTAAACATCCAAACCTAAGAATAATTAGTGTTCCTAAGGAAGAAGAGAAATCTAAAGGTTTGGAAAACATATTTGAGGGAATAATCGAGGAAAGCTTCCCTGGCCTGCTAGAGATCCAGACGTCCAAACACAAGAAGCTAAAAGAACACCTGGGAAATTCATTGCAAAAAGATCATCAACTGGGCACATAGTCATCAGGTTATCTAAAGTAAAGACGAATGAAAGAATCTTAAAAGCTGTGAGTCAAACGCGTCAGGTAACCTATAAAGAAAACCTATCAGATTAACAGCAGATTTCTCAGCAGAAACCTTAAAAGCTAGATGAGATTGGAGTCCTATTTTTAGTCTTCTTCAACCAAACAATTATCAGCCAATAATTTTGTATCCAGTGAAACTAAGCTTCATAAATGAAGGAAATATACAGTCTTTTCCAGACAAACAAATGCTGAGAGAATTTGTCACTAGCAAGCCAGAACCACAAGAATTGCTAAAAGGATCTCTAAATTTTGAAACAAATCCTTGAAATACACCAAAATGGAATCTCTTTATAGCATAACTCTCACAGGACCTAAATAACAATAACACAATGAAAAAAAAAAACCCAAAGTGTTCAGGCAGCAACACAATAAATAGAATAGTACCTCAATAATGAAATATATACTTATGAAATATCTATAGATATTTGTTATAAAATTTATATATTATGAGATATATTTTATAATAAAGTGTATATAAGCCTCCCAACTAGCTGGGACTACAGGTGCACACAACCATGCCCAGGTAATTTTTTTTTTTTAGAGATGCGATCTTGCTATGTTGCCCAGGTTGGCCTGAAACCCCTGATCTCAAGTGCTTCTCCTACCCTGGTGTCCCAAAGCTCTGGGATTACAGGCATGAGCCATCATGCCCAATCTAAATGATATATTTCATATTTTAAAAAACTATGTTTAAAGACAAAAGCTATAGGCTAGAGTGTCTGCTACAGAGGCATCACCTTGAGTACACTGAATGGACATCTCCTAAGTGGGAATTATCTCAATACCACATGACTAGATGGATAACAGGGCAGAGAGTGGAGATGGCAAGAGAGCTTCCTGTATTCTCTACCCTTTGGGATAGCAAGGCTATGTGAAGGTCTCATGATTGTGAAAACATCAGGAAACTTACCTGTGAGTCAACTTACTGGAGCCCCAGTCACGAAGGCCATCTACTCATTGAGGAGGCCTCAGCAATAAAAGTCTGTTGGGAGACCCCCCATGGCATAAACTGGTGTGAAAGGGGCTTGTAGAAGTACTGGAGCAGCAGCTGAATCTGAAATATCAGCGAACTGTACAGGAGGAGTCCATGCACTGCCCTCCAAAGAACCCAGTGGCGCACCTGTAGTCCCTGATATTCCCAGTGTCTGGTCCTCACCACACCCATGAATATGCCAGCCTATTAGTGTGTGTCTCCAAAGCACAAACAGCCAACAAGGAGAGAATTGTGGCCAAGACCAGTTAAGTAAAGACATGCTTGCCCTTTTCTCTACATCTTTCCTCCCTGATCCCTCCCACCCTGTGGAACTGGACCCTAGCACTAGGAGGTGGGGAAGGGAATGATGGAGCAGACTGTACCCAGTCTGCATTCCAAGTCCCTTGAGCCAAAAGCCTGTCCTGTAATAAGAAAAAAAAGTTGTAGAACAGATAAATTAAAATTTTAAACTGTACTGGAGTTAGTTTAATAATGGAAAGTGACCAGATAATTATGGAATCTGCCCAAGATATCATAAAGGAATGGGAAAAGGAATTTCACACAGAAAAGTTTAAAACTGTATTTGGAAAAATGAAGACTGTCAACTTAATATTCTACCCAACCGAGACTGCTAAAAACAATGTTACATAGATGTTTATGGGGGTCACAGGGCAGGGTCACATGATCTCATCTAAGCAGCAGAATGTAATGCTAAAACTCAAAGGGGATTGTAGCTCCTGTACCAAGGGCTATAGTTTAGCCACTTTTTCACCGTAGATAACTTATCTACACTTCAGTTTACTCATGTATAAAATGTAGAATAATTTCTTAACGTAAGTTTTTAAGTTTGCAACTTGAAAAATGATAATAATAGTACCTTTTTATGGGATTGTTGTGAGGATTACATCAATTATGGATACAAAGTACTCACCAGGAGGCTTGACACATGTGAGCTCTTATTGAATGTGAAGTTTAATGACTGGCTGGGAGTAATGGAACTTGGAAAGACTCGTGGAGTTGGTGAGTCTTGGGCTAAAGTGTGAGTAACAGCAGAGAGAAAGGGATGCTAGTGATGGGGGAATTGTGGTATTGGTGATGGAGTGTAAGGGAACATTTCAGGCAGTGAGAACAACATAAGCAAAGAAACAAAGCAAGAGAAAGAAGCATTGTGATGTCAGCAGGATGGCGGAGGGCTGGTATACAAACATTTTGGTGTTGCCAGAGAGTAAATTTTTAGTCAAGAAAAAAGTCCGAAAAAGAGAAGTAAGGACGACATGGTGAAAAGCTTCAAGTACCTAGTTCCTACTCATTTTTTTTTTTTTTTTTTTTTTTTTGAGACAGGTTTTCACTCTATCACCCAGACAGGAGTGCAGTGGCGCGATCTCGCTCCCCCTCCCAGGCTCAAGCGATTCTCCTGCCTCAGCCTCCCGAGTAGCTGGGATTACAGGCATGCACCACCATACCTGGCTAATTTTGTATTTTTAGTAGAGACGGGGTTTCTCCATGTTGGTCAGGCTGGTCCCGACCTCAGGTGATCCGATGGCCTTGGCCTCCCAAAGTGCTGGGATTACAGGTGTGAGCTGCCGCGCCCGACCTAGTTCCTATTCTTATGTGCTCTGCATATCAGAAAAAGGTCCAAACTCTTTAGCTAGCATACATCCAAGGTCTTTTTTGTTTTTGTTTTTTTGTTTTGTTTTGTTTTGTTTTGTTTTGAGACGCAGTCTCACTCTTTTGCCCAGGCCGGAGTGAAGTGGCGTCATCTCGGCTCACTGCAACCTCCGCCTCCCGGGTTCAAACGATTCTCCTGCCTCAGCCTCCCAAGTATCTGGGATTACAGGCACCCGCCACCACGCCCAGCTAATTTTTATATTTTTAGTAGAGACGGAGTTTCGCCATGTTGGCCAGGCTGGTCTCCAACCAAAGTGGTAGGAGTACAGGCGTGAGCCACTGCGCCCAGCACCAAGGTCCTTTTTGATTTGATTACTGCCAACCTTTCAAAATTCATAATTTCATGCACCACATAGATAGACATATATCCTAGACTCCAGCACTACTTCAGATTCTTTAAACACATGGAAAGGTCTCATATCTTGCTTTTCTGCTCACACTATCCTTAATGCTTGAAACAGTCTGACTCTTCCGTCATCTGATTAATTCTTTTTTTAAAAAAATTTATGCAACTGACATCACCATCAGGAATTCTTCTATTATTTTTTATTGCTATTATTATTTAACAAATATTTATTGGGCACTTCTTCATACATGCCACTGTGCAAGAGGCTGGAACTGCCAATGTTAGCAAGCAAAGTCCCTGCCCACAGAGACAAAAGTCTCATGAGGGAGAGGGTCAAATAAACAGGCAATTACTAAACCATGTTATGACTGAGATCAGAGCAGGTCACTATGAGAAGCCTGGATTCCTATCCAGGCCACTGTGCTCAGAGAACATTTTCCTCCTACCAAGAATTCCCTTTCTCTGTTCCTTTTGCCCCCATTTAGACTGTTAGATAAAGGAGGAGGAGGAAGAGAAGAAGAAAATGAAGACATGTTAAAATTTATTGTGCTCTTAGTATGTGTCAGAAGCTATGATAAAACACTTTACATGAACACATTATTTAATTTTCCCCAAACAGTAAGACATCTAGTTGTTATTCCCATTGTAAAATGAAGGAATCAGAGGTAAATTAACTTGCCAATGACACTCAGCTAGGAAGTGGGAGAGCCAAAACTCCAGCCTCAATCAAATTAACTCCAATCCCAGGCAGTAAAACACTATACCACACTATTTGCAAGGGAAAAAAAAAAGTCTCAATTTTTTAAAAAAAGATGATTATAGATAGAGGGAAATTATCACAGTTCCCTTTCAAATATGTTTTCACCATTAGCCTATATCCTTCTCAACTCTAAGAAATTCTCCTATGACCTAGACAATAAAGCATACAGAAGGCTCTATCCCTTTTAAAATTATTCACCTTTCTTCTGCAGATGAACCTAAGAGACAGACGAACCACAGTTAGCCTTCAGTAAATGTTAGTCTGAATGCACAAATACAAACATGAATGAGTCAATCCTTAAATGAATGAATTAACTCAAGAACTGGTAAGACTGAACACATGGAAAGAGCCACAGAGCTTTAGAGGATGGTGACAGTGGGCAACTGGCAAAGGTCCAGGATGGCAAGGTGCCAGCATCATAGAACTCCAACCATAGGCAGCAGGCAGATGTCCCGGCAGTCAGGCAGGCTCTGTGTCAACAGATTTAGCAACAGGAAATAGATGGAAAACCAGGCAGGCAGGTGGTTGGCATCAAGGATTTTGGAAGCAGGTAGCCAGTAATACAGCACTATATCAGGACCTCATCCCATTGAAGGACTTGGGTGATAGAATGTCACTCCTATCCCAGACAACAAAAGCGGGCATTCAGAGGCATGAGGATTGACACAAAAGAGCAAGATCTGAAGCCGGGGTACAAGGCCCAAGCTGCACCAGCATGAGAGGCTGACAGATGCTGAGCCACCAGGCTGTGCTTCAGGACCCTCTGAATTTCCTCTGTCTGGAATCCCTATTGCTCTTTATACCTGGCGGCCCAGCAAGGACAGTGAGTTAAGCCTATTCACAGGAATGTATTGGTCTCAGTTGTGGGTACTGGAGGGCTCTAGGAGCAGGAATTCAAGCACATCATTATTAAAGGAAAGTTTCTGTGATTAGACCAATACCAGTGAAGTCTTCCTTGATGCCTCAAATTATTTTATGCCACATATCCAAACAGCAAATCCTACAAACTCAACCTTGAAAATATCTCCAGTCCTTGAAAATATCTCCAGTATCTGACTACTCTTGAACACTTTCACTGCTAGTACTCCGGTCCTTGCCATCATCATCCCTCGAACAGTCAACTCCAATAGCCGGGCGCCTTCTGCATTCTGTCTTTCCCCATACAGCCTATCCCCATTGTAGGAGCCAGCATCATTCTATTCTTATTCTGCCTCATTTTCTATTTGGTTGTTGTCTCTTTCTTACTTATATTTAGCATTTTTTTGTACGGCAATCCTTCATTGAAAATCCTTCAATACATCTCCAAGTCACCCAAAGTACAAGGCAACCTCCTAAGCCGAAGGTGGTACATAATTACCTTCCTTTTCTCTAACTTCATCTCTTGCCAGTCCCTTCATTTGTTCCTTGCTATTCTTTGTCTATGACTGGCATACCCTGACCTGAGGGCCTTTGCCCCAGTTGTTTCCTCTGCTGGAACGCTCTCTCTCCAGAGGTCCAGAACTCAACTCCTTGCTTTCTTCAGACCTTGACTCAAAATTTCACCTTCTCAGTGAGGTCTTCTTTGCACCCCTACATAGAATTCATAACCCCTTCCAACTCACATGCACATATACTTCCTATCCCCTTTTCCTGATTTGCTTTTTTCCCTTAGCATTTATAATTGTCATATTATATTTTGTTCTTATTTACATTGATCTTTGTCTGTCTACCTCATTAGAATATAAGCCCTGTATGGGCAGAGATTTTTGTTTGTTTTAGTTCCTTGCTGCATTCTCAGTATCTGGGACAGTGCCTGCCAAATAGGCACATAATAAACGCTCAGTGTATATTGGCTGAATGAATTAAGAAAAATAGAGGTGAAGGACACTTCTGTGTAGAGCAGGTTCTGACTATGACTGAAGTTAATTTTAATTTTAGGTTACAGTGTCAATAAAAGTGAAATCCTTGATACCACATACACATGCGTATGTGTATATATCTATGTATGTGTGCATGTGAGCTAGAAGGGGTTAAGAATTACATGTGGGGTTACAAAGAAGACATTGCTGACAAGGTGATATTTTGAATCAAGGTCTGTAGAAAGCAAGGGGTTGAGTTCTGGTTCTAGTATGTGTTGTGTGTATGTGGGGGGTGTGTGTGTGTGTGTTTGTGTGTGTGTGACAGAGACAGAAACAGAGAGAGAATTTGCAGTATTTAGAAGGCATTGTGCCTTTTTTTTGAGCAAGGGGCTTTTCAGAGCTGTTAATATGCCAATGTATTTATCAAATCCTAAGAATGAATTTAGAAGGCAACTTTTATTACCCAAGCTTATTCACCAAGTGAATTCATTGTTTTCAAAGTACTAATTTTGGAGGGAAAACAACAGTTTGGGGGTTCTTCAAGAACTATGACCCTGATACTTGTGAATCCCCTTTTTCCAAATTATTTGACCCCCTCGACTAAAACAGATAACTGAAATACTAGGCAAATGTACTAACAGCATATTAGACATTGCTAATAATCAACATACTCTTTCTTGTCTAATCCCAGATACAGCCTCATAATCCTATTCAGTGCAGTACTACTGGCAATTTATTAGAATTGGTATGGAGATGAAACAACTTTGCCATACCTAAGATTTTAATCCCATTCCAACACAACGTAGCCTCAATCTGCATTTAAACTTTTATAACTTCATATAACTTAAAGCCATTAATTGAGTCAAAATACAATCATGATGCCATATTGTAACTCCTAACCCAAATGCCTTCCACAAATCTCAGCATACACAAGTGATCCCATTCTTTGCAGATCATTAGAAGGGCCACAGTCATCCACAGTCACTAAGCTGAGCATGATCTTTCTAGACTAGATGTCATTTATCACTTTGTTTCTTACGTTCTGACTCATTTTACAAACATCACAGAGCCCTGCACAACGCCTTGCATATTAAGGGTGCTTGTGATGGTTAATACTGATTATCAACTTGATTGGATTGAAGGATACAAAGTATTAAACCTGGGCGTGTCTGTGAGAGTACTGCCAAAGGAGATTAACATTTGAGTCGGGGGGAAGCTGACCCACCCTTAATCTGGGTGGGCACAATCTAATCAGCTGCCAGCACAGCTAAAATATAAGCAGGCAAAAAAAACCAAACAAACAAAAAAAACAAAAACAAAAACAAAAAAACAGGGAAAAGAGAGACTGGCCTAGCCTCCCAGCCTAAATATTTCTCCCGTACTGGATGCTTCCTGCCCTCAGACATTGGACTCCAAGTTCTTCAGTTTTGGAACTCGGACTGGCTCTCCTTGCTTCTCAGCCTGCAGACGGCCTATTGTGGGACCTTGTGATCATTTATTAAGTATTAAGTTAATACTTAATAAACTCCCCTCTGTATATAAATATATATTCCATTAGTTCTGTCCCTTTAGAGAACCCTGATACAGTGCTTAATAAACATTTTCTAAATGGCTGTCAACCAAAATTATAACAAATACATTCCTATTTTAAAATCTTATATTCTAAATTTCTCCTTCCTTAAATTCCTATTGCAAATCTGCAAAGCCATTAAAATTATTTCCATGCAAGACAAAGAAAGTTTTC